GTGCACCCAATAAGGAGAAGTCTGTTTAAAAATTCCTCTTATTATAGAAAATATAGTCCATGTGTGTCGCAATAGTTCATTAATTTCCATAGTCCATAGGATACCATAAATGTATGAGAGCATATAAAAGACATATCAAAATCAATAAAAAAAAGACTTTTAAAAACTTATAAAAGACTAGAAAAGAAAGGAGATTATTATTCCATATACTATCCCCTCTATCTTACAGACCATGTATGGTTAATGTGGTTAATACATAATGTATCAAAAGATCCCTTCACATAACTAGATACATATTATATAAAACTAATCTCTCCAGCTTGATGTAATATAATACAAAATATTGTGTCCTACAGCATACTTTAACTATAGAAAATTCCTATATGGGGGAGAGGGAGGGGGAAAAAAAAGGTGATTATAGAAAATGGCATAACTCAAAGTCTGAGTTTAAACCATAAGGGATCAAGGTATTGAGTTTGTAAATCCACTCCATTTCAGATCTTCCTAACTCTCTGATAAAGTCACCCCTCTCCAATTTTTATTTAACTTTTTAATCCCCATAAATGTTAGACCTTCTGGCTTCTGATTATGGAATTTCTTTAAATGGTATGAGACACTATGTTGTTCAAATCCTATTTGGATTTTATATATATGTTCTCTAATTCTCGTATGTAAAGGTCTCGTCGTTCTTCCCACATATTTAAGTCCACACGGACATATCAAAAGATAAACCACATTTTTAGTGTAGCAGGTCATAAATTGTTTAATCGGGATTGTAACGTCTTTATTAGTTGTTATTTCTTTCACTATCCTTCTAGTACAGCCTGACTTTTTACATGCTGTACACTGCCCACATCCATAGAAGCCTTTTTCATCCTTAAACAGCGTAGGAGGATGATTCTTTTCCTTTAAAAAAACTTCTCACTAATGTACTTTTAAGGTTCCTTGCTCCTCTATATATCATTCTCGGTTTTGTTGGGAGAATCTGTTTTAGAGTTTGGTCTTGGAGTAAGATTGGCCAATATCTGTTTATAATTTTGCGTATTTGGTAATTACTTGTATTGTAATTACAAATAAATGGAATATCCTTTGCTTCCTTATTCGTTCTTACTTTATAGGTTAATAGTTCCTTTCTTTCTCTACCCCTTATCTCTAATCTGGAATTTTCAAGTTTGGATGCGTCATACACCTTAGTTAGAAAATCTGTCTTAATACGTAGTGATTGGTCCTCGTAATTTGTCACATCACTGCAATTTCTCTGAATTCTGAGAAATTGCCCCTTAGGGGCGTACTCCAACCACAGAGAATGGTGGCAGATGATTTTCTCAATAAAACTGTTACAATCCACCTTTTTAAAATGATTTTTAGTTTTAATTTTGCCTTCTTCAATAAAAATATCCAAATCTAAAAATTTGACTATATCTTTACTGCATGTGCTCGTTAGTCTAATACCCCAATTGTTATTATTTAAAAACTCTGTTAACTCTCTTTCTTCACCCTTCCATATTAATATAATATCGTCAATATAACGGCCATAGAAGACTAAGTTCTCCCCCCAGTCATCTCCATCGTAGACAAAATAGTCTTCCCAAAAGGCCATGAACAAATTGGCATAACTGGGGGCAAACTTAGACCCCATGGTCGTCCCATTAATCTATAAAAAATAATTATCATTATCCCAAAAGAAATTATTTTTTAAAATCAGTCTTATTCCTTCTGTTATGTACTCAACTTGCTTTGGTAGGAAATTATTAGATTTAGTTAAAAAGTGTTCCGTTGCTTTGCATCCATACATGTGTGGTATATTAGTGCAGTTACATCACATGTAATTAAGAGGCAATTAGAATCCCAAACTACTTTCCCCAAAAGGTTTAAAACAGAGATGGTATCTTTAATATGTGATTTAGTTTTAAATACCAACGGTTGCAGCTGAACATTTATATATTGGGATAGCCTACTTGAAACAGAATCTATTCCTGCTATAAATAAAAAAACTTTTTTCACTGTTATAGATTGAATATAAAAGTGGCCTCTTTGAGAGAAATATTTCCCACAATCAGAACAAAAATAAGGTTTCTCTCCTGTATGGCTCCTCAAATGATGCTTAAGATTGGAAGCGGCTGAAAAGCATTTCTCACACTCAGAACAAAAATATATATTTTTTAACATTCTCTCCACTTTGAACGAAATGACGTTTGGGAAGAGATTTTGTATGAGTAGGTTTTTCATGTACGATACGGGAACATGATTTAGATCCTTGGTAAGTTTTGCGAGATCCAATAGTGTGTATGTAGGGGGAACAGTCAATCCATTTCTGCCAAGTGACCCTATGTAGGAGGAACAGTCTCTATTCTGCTCTGTGTCAGTGTGTATCAGGGGCTCTGAGGACAGGTTTCAATCCATATCTGCCAAGTGACCCTATGTAGGGGGAACAGTCTCTATTCTGCTCTGTGTCAGTGTGTATCATGGTCTCTGAGGACAGGTGTCAATCCATATCTGCCAAGTGACCCTATGTAGGGGGAACAGTCTCTATTCTGCTCTGTGTCAGTGTGTATCATGGTCTCTGAGGACAGGTGTCAATCCATATCTGCCAAGTGACCCTATGTAGGAGGAACAGTCTCTATTCTGCTCTGTGTCAGTGTGTATCAGGGGCTCTGAGGACAGGTGTCAATCCATATCTGCCAAGTGACCCTATGTAGGAGGAACAGTCTCTAGTCTGCTCTGTCAGTGTGTATCAGGGGCTCTGAGGACAGGTGTCAATCCATATCTGCCAAGTGACCCTATGTAGGGGGAACAGTCTCCATTCTGCTCTGTGTCAGTGTGTATCAGGGGCTCTGAGGACAGGTGTCAATCCATATCTGCCAAGTGACCCTATTATGTAGGGGGAACAGTCTCTATTCTGCTCTGTGTCAGTGTGTATCATGATCTCTGAGGACAGGTGTCAATCCATATCTGCCAAGTGACCCTATGTAGGAGGAACAGTCTATTCTGCTCTGTGTCAGTGTGTATCAGGGGCTCTGAGGACAGGTGTCAATCCATATCTGCCAAGTGACCCTATGTAGGAGAACAGTCTCTATTCTGCTCTGTGTCAGTGTGTATCATGGTCTCTGAGGACAGGTGTCAATCCATATCTGCCAAGTGACCCTATTTAGGAGGAACAGTCTCTATTCTGCTCTGTGTCAGTGTGTATCAGGGTATCTGAGGACAGGTGTCAATCCATATGTCAAGGTGTCAATATGTCATATGTCAGGTGTCAATCTTTATCCATTGTGATTTAGGAATGTTAGGTGATTTCTGCCCTTTATGGATTAAGACCATGGGAGTTTTGCCATGGATCCCCCTCCGGCATGCCACAGTCCAGATGTTAGTCACCTTAAAACAACTTTTCCATCACTATTGTGGCCAGAAAGAGTCCCTGTGTGTTTTAAAATTCGCCTGCCCATTGAAGTCTATGGCGGCTAGCCCGGTTCGCCGGTTCGGGAACATTTGCGGAGGTTCGCGTTCGCCGTTCGGGAACCGAAAATTTCGGGTTCGCGACATCACTACTAGTGACTTGGAAAAGAACCTGTTGGAACATCCACCAATCAATAATCTAACTTTTAATGAACGGAAAGCTCTCAATGAACTAAAAATGTTGGATGATGTCGTTATAAAACCGGCAGACAAGGGTGGAAATATTGTTCTATTGAATAGAGACATGTACATTGATATGTGCATGGCACATCTTAACGATTGAACTACTTACAGTATTCTCCCTTCTGATCCTACCGAGATGTATGTAAAAGAACTTGAAGACTTTCTAATGAAGGCAATGGAACAAAAAATAATCAACTCAGATGAGTTTAAATATTTATTACCACACAAACAACCTACAATAGCCACTCTGTACTGCTTACCCAAAATACACAAAAATAAGAAGGTACCTCCTGGGAGACCAATTATTTCTGGTAATAAATGCCTAACAGAAAGAGCCAGTAAATTTGTTGATATGTTACCAATTTACCATCTTATATACAGGATACCAAATCTACTCTACTAGAAAAGCTACAATTTCTGGGGAAATTGTGTGAAGTGTTCTTGCATCCTCCAGTAGTCTACAACTGGAGTGGGGGGAGTAACTGTTATCATTTATATAGCACATTTAATTGCAACGTTGTTGCACAGTTACATTAAACCATACATTTATAAAAACATTAGCAGGTGTTCAAAAGGCCCTGTCTATGACATCACTTGCTGCTCCAGCCTGGCACAGGTCAGAGTATTTTGGCGGTTGCCATCTTCAAACGGTCGTATTTTAAAAACTATAAATCCTACAGTGAAGAGCTTTATATTGTGAGAATCACAAGACCCAGACCTACATGCATAGTACGTCTCTGAAGTATTAAGAATGAAGGCACAGGGGGGGCGGGGCCTGACCTGCAAACTAGACGGTCGCATGGCACAGGAGCTCCCAATGCCAAAGCGTTTTTTGGGGGATATACTCACTAATAAGACTACTAAAAAGATGCCGGGGTACGCTACCCATGCTGGGGGCACCCTGGCGAATCGCCTGATATCGAACTCAAGTAATTCCCACAAGCACAAGCCTGAAGGGGCCCAAGGCGGCCCGCGGTGGATGGGGCTGGGGGAGGCGGCCGCTCTCCTCGCCTCCACACTGGGCGCGCTGTGCCACTGATCACCCGCTCCCCCCCCACAGGACCGGCGGGGGTTATCCCGGTCCAACCCCGCCAGACGGAAGGGCTACGGCAGATGCGGATGGCGGAGCCTAACAAGCAGCTCCCAGACGCACAGACCCACACAATGGCAAACGCCACGTGCGACTGCAATGGCGGCAGAGCGGAGACCGATGCCCTGAAAAGGCTAGACGCTATCTTCGACGCCTTTTGGGCACAGCTAGCACTCAGAGAAAGACAGGTCAACATACAAGAGACCTTACCCAGAGACGGACCCGCACGTGCTTGCCACAGCCACGCTGTTCCCTGCTCGGAGGCACCCACAAGATGGCGCCGCAGACGGAGACCTCGCCCGCATACCCGCAAGCGATTGACCAAAACAGCGCTGATAACCCGCAGGGACAAGCAGGTCCAACCTCATCCTCACACGGCACCGAACCCCGCCAGGCAACCTTCAAGAAGCAAACACCCATCAGGGCACCAGAACCTGTCAACGCCAAGGGGAGTTCCAGAATCCAGGACCAAAGCACCAACTACCTACAATAACACTACAGGTACCCACAGCGACAAGCGACCAGGCCCAGCATCGGACCTAGCGCAACTAAACTTTGCCTTATCCCAGCGGCCACAAAAACCAGCGACAAGATCCCTACCTATGCCCCAAAAGGACTGCCAAGTACCCTATCAACATTCCCAATGCTGGGCATAGGTTGACAGCGAGCACTCAGGCTGGACTCTCAGAGGCACATACCCCAAACCTCTGCCACAACGGACGCTGTGTTTACCACTCTGCAGCCTCCTAAACAGAGACCCTCCTAACTGGAGACCTCTACAAGATAAGCCTATAATGCCTACAAGCCAATAAGCAATATGCGTTTATACGTACCACATATGTTTGGCAACGAGATATTGGGGACCATGGCGGAGTAACCTGTCGCAATGGTGTTTTACTCTCTCCTCCTGGCCCGTGCCATGTATTTACCCCTATGCTGTATCTTGAAGCAGAAACTGCATTTGCATAAGCGACAGGGTAGTGAGGGTGTTTCTGCACTGTCCTAGTACAGCCTCGGGTGATATATTACGCAGTTGCCTAATACACCCAAGTCGTCACGGTATAATGGGAAATATTTAATCTAAATCACAGGCATTACTGTTCCTATTGTATTTATGATTGTTCCGCAGTTATATGCTTAATTACACTCATGTCCTTAACCTGTGTCCTAATCGCATGACACTCACTTAGTACATCTGGCATGCTACTCACCACGTCTAACATGCTTAGATTTCTAATCAACTTTAAACTGCTATAACTTACAAACAAACGTATGCATAGCTTGTTTATAATTTTATTATAAAAATGTGCCGATGTTTACATGTCATAAATGTGAAAAACTGTGTTCTAACTGTTCTTATGCATGCCGTTGTGGCATTGTTAAATGTTCTGTTACCTCCTGCACAATGAAAAATAAAGAATGCAAACAAATGATTATATTGTAAAAACTATCAGGACTATGGCTTAGCCGTTGACATGTTTAGTGGCAGCAGGGATAGCTGAACGTTTTGATATAAGATTTGTGTAGGTGGGCCTGAAAATAAGGGAGTGGTGGCAGTTTAGAAATCATGTCTGATTTTTCAGCTTTTGCCAGCTCCCACTCTAGCTTTGCCATTCATTCCTATGGGACAAATTTCGCCACAAGAACGACGATATTCCGTGAACCATTCGGCGAAGCGTTCCACAAAGTAATAGCAATCCGATCGGGAACAATCTGCACGTTTTGGTAAATTTTGGTCTATGTAGTGTAAAAACTGTGGGAGGAGTTAGGGTGGCAAATTTTGCTATAATAATAATAATAATAACTAGAAAAGTTACAATTTCTGGGGAAATTGTGTGAAGTGTTCTTGCCTCCACCAGTAGTCTACAACTGGAGTGGGCGGAGTAACTGTTATCATTTATATAGCACATTTAATTGCAGCGTTGTTGCACAGTTACATTAAACCATACATTTATAAAAACATTAGCAGGTGTTCAAAAGGCCCTGTCTATGACATCACTTGCTGCTGCAGCCTGACACAGGTCAGAGTATTTTGGCAGTTGCCATCTTCAAACGGTCGTATCTTAAAAACTATAACTCCTACAGCGAAGAGCTTTATATTGTGAGAATCACAAGACCCAGACCTACATTTTGATGCATAGTATGTCTGTGAAATATTAAAAATATTAAAAAATGTCAATGGACGGCTTGAGTAGTGAGATAACATTAAGTGGTCTTGCTATGCAGGAACGCTTAATAATAATAATAATAACTAGAACTAGAAAAGCTACAATTGCTGGGGAAATTGTGTGATGTGTTCTTGCCTCCACCAGTAGTCTACAACTAGGGATCGAGCAATTATCGGTTTTGCCGATATTCGGTGTTTTCAACAATATCGGTATCGGCCACTAAAGATACCGATATTGCCGATATTGATAGAGTGAGAAATGCATTTCAACTTTTATTTATTTATATAGCACATTTAATTGCAACGTTGCTGCCCAAAGTCCTTCACAGTTACATTAAAACATACATTTATAAAAACATTAGCAGGTGTACTAAAGGACCTGTCTATGACATCACTTGCTGCTCCAGCTTGGCACAGGTCAGAGTATTTTGGCGGTTGCCATCTTCAAACGGTCATATTTTAAAAACTGTACATCCTTGTTGTGGACAAAAATATTAACCCAATCCATGTTGGTAAAATGCCTATTTACTCAGTATAACTATAATCAGCATTATTCAACTTTCTATGTGATTTACCTAAAATGGCCGCTAGGGAGTTTCCCTTTGACATCGACTAACACCCTCATTAACAAGATGGCGCTGGAATCTGGGGGAGACCTCCAAGATACCAGTGACATCACACCCGGTAGGAAGAGCACTAAATGAACCACTTAACACCTAACCAATTATTGATGTATTATTTCATGTTATCTCTGACAATGCATATGATGTAATTTTATTTATATCACATAAATGTTTGTAATGATGATTCGTCTCTTGATGTTCCCCGGCCACCGCCCTATGATGGCACCCAGAATACCGTGAATGAATCTCTCCCCGCCTCCCCAGTCACTGCCAAGTCGCCACCTCCAATTGTCATAGGCCCTTCTGTCCCCACCCCCGTGTACCCCGTTCTCGGGGCGGATGGATCCTATTATTACCCCGTAACTCTCCCGCCTACCTCCACACTTCCCATTATTCCGGTCCCCCTTCCACTTCCCTCTGATCCCGCCCCTCTTCCACCTTCCCTTGTCGCTATTGATGCCGTCCCTCTGCTACCTCCCTCCATCACTTCTCCCAACATCACCCCTCCTTCACCCGTTGTTCCCCCCGTCGCATCTCTCTCTGCTATATCCTCCTCTTCCCTTGCCATTCCCTCTTCTCCTGCTCCTACCTCTCCTCTCCCCACTACCCCTTCTGTCCCCATTCCAGATTCCCCTCCTCTTCCCGCCTCCAATCCTGTTGTCCCTCCCTCGATCTTTCGTCACTCATCTCCACCCTCTCCACTCATCTCCCTCAGCCTACTCATAAAAGATAAACTAGCTGACCAAGCCACTTGTATAAATGATATTTTACAAGACAAACTCGAATCTGTGGAAAAACACCATTCACGTTTGACTCAAACTTTCTCCGATCTCGGATTCAGTGTATATAACAAAGCACATACCCATATGTTATCCGCTGCCTTTGTTGCTGGCCTTAAGGAAACCATCAAGAAAGGCTTAGTGCTTTCTTGCCCCGAATACAGAATTATTCCTTTGGACACTCTCTTACTAGTTGCCAAGGGCCTAGAATCTGCTCTACAGCCACCCCAAAGGAAATGTAATCCTCTCATTTTTTCCGTTTATAGCCCATCCACCAGACCCGCCCAGGTCCCTCCAGGATATCCCGCGCTATCTACCCTGCCAGCTGCACAGGGGCAGCACATGACACCCATCCCTAGGCCTCAGACCAGGGCATGCTTTAATTGTAACCAACCAGGCCATTTCCGGAGAGATTGCCCACACCCCAGGGTGCCTAGACAGCCAACCACTAGACCACCTATGTACCCCAATGCCCCTGCGGCCACGTATGGTGGTCTCCAACCTGGTTACCCTCCACATTTATATCCTCAGGCACATACTTCGTCTTACCCTCCTCAGGAATATGCTCAAGCTGTCTACCAGCCCTCTCCATCTAATACTCACCCCCCACCCCGCAGCTATGCTCACCCTTCCCCTGGTAGTTACAATATAGATGATTTCCAACAAGATGAACCCCCTGCACCCAGTCATTATCGCCCTACACGTCCAACCCATCAGGCCAGCCACTCCACCACACCCGCACGTCACTACACTGGCCCTAATCAATCTCATCTAGACCTTGTACAATAGGTAACCGGCAAACCTGTGTCTAACACCCCTGTCATGGCAGTGTCTACAGGGGACAAGGGGGGGCTTCTCGCTACAGTTGTCCTACCAGTTGAGGGTCATCCTACTACCTTTTTAGTTGACACAGGTGCAGCCTGCAGTGTTCTCAGAGAACAAGACCTGCCTGACCCATCTTACCTATCTGACACAGATGTTTCATGTGTAGGTGTCGAAGGTACCCCAAGAAACAACCCATTAACTAAGCTCTTGCGGGTTGGTTCTGACATTCTCTCTCGATTTGTTGTCTCATCCACCTATCCAATTATCCTTTGAGGAGCAGATGTTCTGTCTCGTCTTCAAGCTTCTATCTCCTTAACTGCTGATGGCCAGGTTCAATTACTAACCCCCCTTTCTCGCAAAGATACCTCTGTCCTTTGCGCTCTGCCCCTACTACTACTACATATGACGTCCCCCACCGAGGAGGTAAGGGTCCCAGAGGCGCCCAGTGCCCTGGATAGGGTTCCAACTAAACTTTGGTCCACGGGCCCAGATGACATTGGGCGCCTACGAGTCCCACCTGTGGTAGTTACACTAATTAAGGGAGCTAATCCACCACGAAGACCACAGTACCCATTGAAACCTGCACAAGCTCTAGCCATCTCCAAACAAGATGATAGCCTGTTGGCAAAAGGTGCACTGGCCAAATGTGTATCACAGTGTAACACCCCTCTATTCAGGGGCGGACTGAGAGCCTTTGGGGCCCCCGGACAAAATTAGATCCCAGGCCCTTTGAAGGCCAAATATACGTGCATTAAATAAATGTTAAATATAACTCATAATACGGCATTCCTTTGGATGTGTATATTGTGAAGACCTGTGTATCAATGCATGTTTGTATTTGAGTCTGTGTGAATGTACTTGTGCATGTCTGGATGACTACATGTGCTTTTTGTATATAGTGTCTGTGTGAATGCATATGTGACAGGTGACAGAGTGTATGAGGGAGAAGGTGACAGGTGGAAGAGTGTGGGAGGTTGTGACAGGTGGCAGAGTGAGGGGGTACCTGGTGGCAGAGTGAGGGAAGGAGGGGTTGAGTGGTGGCAGAGTGAGTGGGGGTGACTGGTGACAGAGGGAGGGAGAGGGGGTGACTAGTGTCAGAGTTAGGGAATGGGTGACTAGTGGCAGAGTGGGGGAGGGAGGGAAGAGATGACTAGTGGCAAAGTGAGGGAGGGAAGAGGTGACTGGTGACAGAGGGAGGGAGTGACTGGTGACAGAGGGAGGGAGTGACTAGTGACAGAGGGAGGGAGTGACTAGTGACAGAGAGAGGGAAGGGGTGACTGTCACTAGTCACCCCCTCACTCTGTCACTAGTCACCCCCTCTGTCCCTAGTCACCCCCTTCCTCACTCTGTCACTAGTCACCCCATCCCTCTCTCTGTCACTAGTCACCCCATCCCTCTCTCTGTCACTAGTCACCCCATCCCTAACTCTGTCACTGTGAAGGAAGGAAGGGGTGACTGGTGACAGAGTGAGGGGATGCCTGGTGACAGAGTGAGGGAAGGGATGACTAGTGGCAGAGTGAGGGAAGGAAGGGATGACTGGTGACAGAGTGAAGGAATGACTGGTGACAGAGTGAGAGAGGGGGTGACTAGTGAAAGAGTGAGAGGGGGTGACTAGTGACAGAGTGAGGGAGGGAGTGGGTGACTAGTGACAGAGTGAGGAAGAGGTGACACAGTGACAGAGTGAGGAAGGGGGTGACACAGTGACAGAGTGAAGGAGGTGGTGACTGTCACTAGTCACCCCATCCCTCCCTCTGTCACTAGTCACTCCCTCCCTCCCTCTGTCACTAGTCACTCCCTCCCTCACTCTGTCACTAGTCACCACCTCCATCTCTTACTCTGTCACTAGTCACCCCCTCCCTCACTCGGTCACCAGTCATCCCCTCCCTCTGTCACCTGTCACGCCCTCACTCTAGTGACAGAGTGAGGGAGGGTGGGACTAGTGACAGACAGAGGCAGGGGGTGACTAGTGACAGTAAGGAAGGGGATGACTAGTGAAAGAGTGAGAAAGGGGGTGACACAATGACAGAGTGAGGAAGGGGGTGACACAGTGACAGAGTGAAGGAGGGGGTGACTGTCACTAGTCACCCCATCCCTCCCTCTGTCACTAATCATCACCTCCCTCACTCTGTCACCCCCTCCCTCTCTCTGACACTAGTCACACCCTCCCTCACTCTGTCACTAGAGTGAGGGGGTGACAGGTGACAGAGTGAGGGGGTGACAGGTGACAGAGTGAGGGGGTGACAGGTGACAGAGTGAGGGGGTGACAGGTGATATTGAGGGAAGGGGTGACTAGTGGCAGAGTGAGGGAAGGAAGGGGTGACTAGTGACAGAGTGAGGGGATGACTGGTGACAGAGTGAGGGAGGGGGTGACTAGTGACAGTGAGAGAGGTGGTGACTGTCACTAGTCACAACCTCCCTCACTCTGTCCCTAGTCACCCCTCCCTCTGTCACTAGTCACCACTTCCCTCCCTCACTCTGTCACTAGAGTGAGGGGGTGACTAGTGACGGAGTGAGGGAAGGGGTGACTAGTGGCAGAGTGAGGAAAGGAAAGGGTTATTAGTGACAGAGTGAGGGAGGTGGTGACTGTCACCAGTCACCACCTCCCTCCTTCTGTCACTACTCCCTCCCTCCTTCTGTCACTACTCCCTCCCTCCTTCTGTCACTAGTCACCCCCTCTGTCCCTTACTCTGTCACTAGTCACCCCCTAACTCACTCTGTCACTAGCCATCCCCCTAACTCACTCTGTCACCAGTCATCCGCTCACTCTGTCACCAGTCATCCCTTCCTTCCCTCACTCTGCCACTAGTCACCCCTTCCCTCACTCTGTCACCAGTCATTCCCTCACTCTAGTGACAGAGTGAGGGAGGGTGTGACTAGTGACAGAGTGAGGGAGAGGGTGACTAGTGACAGAGTGAGGGAGTGATTAGTGACAGAGTGAAGGAGGGAATGGGTGACTAGTGACAGAGTGAGGGAGAGGTGACTAGTGACGGGGGGGTTACCTGTGAGGGAGGGTGTGACTAGTGACAGAGGGAGGGAGATGGTGACTAGTGACACAGGGAGGGAGATGGTGACTAGTGACAGAGGGAGGGAGATGGTGACTGTCACTAGTCACCCCATCCCTAACTCTGTCACTAGTCATCCCCTCACTGTCACTAGTCACCCACTCCCGCACTCTGTCACTAGTCACCCCCTCCCTCTGTCACTGTGTCACCCTATTCTTCCCTCTGTCACTGTGTCACCCCATCCCTCCCTATGTCACTAGTCATCCCCTCCCTTACTCTGTCACTAATCACCCCGTCCCTCACTCTGTCACTGTGTCACCCCATCCCTCCCTCTGTCACTAATCACCCACTCACTCTGTCACTAGTCACCCACTCACTCTAGTGACAGAGTGAGGGAGGGTGTGACTAGTGTCAGAGAGAGGGAGGGGGTGATTAGTGACAGAGTGAAGGAGGCAATGGGTGACTAGTGACAGAGTGAGGGAGAGGTGACTAGTGACGGGGGGGTTACCTGTGAGGGAGGGTGTGACTAGTGACAGAGGGAGGGAGATGGTGACTAGTGACAGAGGGAGGGAGATGGTGACTAGTGACACAGGGAGGGAGATGGTGACTAGTGACAGAGGGAGGGAGATGGTGACTGTCACTAGTCACCCCATCCCTAACTCTGTCACTAGTCATCCCCTCACTCTGTCACTAGTCACCCACTCCCGCACTCTGTCACTAGTCACCCCCTCCCTCTGTCACTGTGTCACCCTATTCTTCCCTCTGTCACTGTGTCACCCCATCCCTCCCTATGTCACTAGTCATCCCCTCCCTTACTCTGTCAGTAATCACCCCGTCCCTCACTCTGTCACTGTGTCACCCCATCCCTCCCTCTGTCACTGGTCATCCCCTCGCTCACTCTGTCACTAGTCACCCACTCACTCTAGTGACAGAGTGAGGGAGAGGGTGACTAGTGACAGAGTGAGGGAGGGGGTGACTAGTGACAGAGTGATGGAGGGAAGGGGTGACTAGTGACAGAGTGATGGAGGGAAGGGGTGACTAGTGACAGAGTGAGGGAGGGGGATACTAGTGACACAGTGGGGGGGGACTAGTGACAGTGGGGGGGTGACTAGTGACAGTGGGGGGTGATTAGTGACAGTAAGGGGGTGACTAGTGACAGTGAGGGGGTGACTAGTGACAGTGAGGGGGGGGGTGACTAGTGACAGTGTGACTAGTGGTGGGGTGACTAGTGTCAGTGGGGGTGACTAGTGTCAGTGGGGGTTGTAGTGTCAGTGGGGGTGACTAGTGACAGTGAGGGAGGTGATTAGTGACAGTGAGGGGTTATTAGTGTCAGTGGGGGTGACAGTGACAGTGAGGGGGGGTGACTAGTGACAGTGGGGGGAGGGGTGACTAGTGACAGTGGGGGGGTGATTAGTGACAGTGAGGGGTGATTGGTGACAGTGGGGGGGTGACTAGTGACAGTGAGGGGGGGTGGAGGGTGACTAGTGACAGTGAGGGGGGATGGATCATAAAGTCAAAAGGCTGCAGCGCCAAACTCTAGCGCAACAGCCTGGCATTGTCCTCTGACATCCGGTTCAGCCAGAACAACGGGTTGTGATCTGTGAGTAATGCAAATGGTTGTCCGTATAAATATGGTTGCGATTTCTTGAGGGCCCACACCACGACAAGGCATTCTTTTTCAATGGCGGCGTAGGTTACTTCTCGGGGTAAAAGTTTTCTGCTTAAGTAAGCTACGGGATGCTCGCCGCCATCTGCTCAGACTTGGCTCAGTACTGCTCCCAATCCAAACATAGAAGCGTCTGTATGGACGAGAAAACGTTTAGTTGGATCAGGAGCAGCGGGTATAGGTGTGTTAACAAGAGCAGTTTTAAGTTGCTGGAATGCCATTTCACACTCTGGGGCCCATACTACTAACTTGGGAGATTCTTGCGGGTCAAATCTGTGAGGGGCTTTGCCAGGGTACTGTAATCGGGCACAAATTTCCTATAATACCCTGCGGTACCTAAGAATGCTAAGACCTGGGTTTTGGTGCGGGGGTTTGGCCATTTGGCTACCGCCTCTATTTTGGCCGGTTATGGTTTCTGTTGGCCACTTCCTACTCGGTGTCCTAAATATTGAACTTCGGCTATCCCTATATGGCACTTACTGGGTTTAAGGGTTAACCCTGCCTCCCTAATACGGTCTAAGACTGCTCCTACATGGCTCAGGTGGTCGGTCCAGTTATAGCTGAAAATCGCTATGTCGTCCAGATAGGCGCACGCGTATTCCTGAAACCCGTCTAATAGTCTGTCTACCATCCTCTGGAAGGTGGCTGGGGCGTTTTTCATTCCGAATGGCATAACTCTAAACTGGTATAGGCCAAACGGAGTGACAAACGCTGACTTCGGAATGGTGTCCTCTGCTAAAGGAATTTGCCAATATCCTTTGCACAGGTCGATCATAGATTATGACCTCGGGCCATCTTGTCTAACAACTCGTCTATGCGCGACATGGGGTAGGCATCTGATACCGTTTTATCGTTAAGCCTTCTATAATCTACGCAGAAGTGGGTTGTCCCATCCCGCTTTGGCACTAGTACCACTGGAGACGCCCAAGGGCTATCTGAATGCTCAATAACCCCTAATTGTAACATTTCCTCAATTTCCTTACGCATATGCTCTTTTACTGCTTCTGGAATGCGGTAAGGAGGTTGACGGAGGGGTGTTTGGCCTGGGGTCTCCACCCTGTGGGTGGCTAATGAGGTATACCCGGGAAGGTTGGAGAAGGTGGCTCTTGTCTCCCTAATTAAACTCTGGGCCTGGGTTTTCTCCTGCAAAGTTAAGCGCTCCCCTAACTGTACTGCAGCTAACTCTTTCTTCTCGGTTTCTCTGGCGAGCAGATCTGGTAACGGCAAATTATCTGTGTCCTCTGCGGCAGAGGCACATATTGCGGTCACCTCTTCTGTGCGCTCGTTGTATTGTTTCAGCATGTTTACATGAAGCATGCATCTTCCCCCTGCCCCAGCGCATGGGCCAATTATATAGGTGGTATCGCAGATTTGCTCTACCACCTTGAATGGGCCCTGCCAGGAGGCCTGCAGCTTGTCAGTAGGTACGGGTCGCAGGATCAGCACCTTCTGCCCGACCTTAAAGCTGCAGTCCCTGGCCCACCTATCATACCATCTGCGCTGTCTTTGCTGGGCCGCTTGGAGGTTGGTACGTACGGTCTGGGTCAACGCCTCCAAACGGTCCCGAAATTTCAGCACATATGGTACGATAGGGGTACCATTAGTGGTTACTCCCCCCCTCCCAGTGTTCTCTGATTAAATCTAGGGGGCCCCTCACTCTCCTTCCAAATAATAATTCAAAGGGAGAGAACCCAGTGGATTCTTGGGGCACTTCTCTATAGGTGAACAGTAAGTGGGGTAGGAATTGTTCCCAGTCTTTTTGCGTGTCTATGAATGTCCGGATCATTTGTTTCAGCGTTCCGTTAAACCGTTCACAGAGACCATTAGACTGGGGATGGTAGGGAGAATTAAGGATAGATTTTACCCCACATACTTTCCAGAGTTGGTGAGTGACCTCTGCCGTGAATTGGGTACCTCTATCCGAAATAATCTCCCGGGGCAATCCCATGCGGGAAAATATTCGCATAAGGGCATCCACCATGGTCTCAGCATGTACATTAGTTAGAGCCACTGCTTCGGGGTATCTGGTGGCGTAATCTACTACGGTCAAGATGTACTTCTTGCCGGAGGGACTGGGTTTTTTCAGTGGTCCTATTATGTCCACTGCTAGTCTACTGAAGGGTTCTTCTATTATGGGTAGGGAGTGCAGTTTAGCTTTATATCGGTCTCCCCTTTTTCCGACCCTCTGGCAGGTATCACAGGTATTGCAATATTGTCTAATATCCTGGGAGATACCTGGCCAGAAGAAATTTTGAGTCAGCCGATGTTTGGTTCGGCGGATTCCTAAATGCCCTGACACTGGTACGTCGTGCGCTATGCGCATTAACTCTTGCCTGTATTTCCTAGGCACAATTAACTGTTTAATGGGAATGGGAACTGATCCGGCCACTATCTTCTCAGCATATCGGTATAATAGCCCTTTATCCCAAGCATACTTTTCTCCTTCTATGCCTGCCTGGTTCTTGTCTATTCGGTCTTTATAAACCTGCAGGGAAGGATCTAGAGCGACCTCGCTACCAAATTCTAAAGGGGCATCCCAGGGTAGGATAGTGTGGTTGGGGTTGGCATTGCTTACCTGAGCCTCAGAGTCGGTGGGTGGTGCGTGGTGCGAGCCTGTTGTCGAGTGATGACTGGATAAGCCTCCTGCGTGGTAGGTCGTGGAATAAAAGCGGAGGTGAGCTCCCCCAAGTCATTTCCCAAAATAACATCCGCTGGCAAGTCTTGCATCATCCCCACCTCTACTTGCCCTGCCCCTACTCCCCAATTCAAATGTATTTTGGCAGTGGGTACTTTGTAAATGGCTCCCCCTGCCACCCGTACCGCTATGCAATCCCCCGTGAGTTGTTCTTTTGAAACCAGATGGTTTCGGACCAACGTGATGGTGGCCCTGGAATCCCTCAGTCCTTCCATACGCTTCCCTTCTATATGGACCACTTGCCTATGGCTTTGGCGGTTGTCTGATGCCGCTTGCACTGGGTTAACTTCGTGGAGCGTGCCTAGCCGTTCCTCCATCTGGGCGGTGGTGGATGGCTGTGCAAACGCTCCGGTCTGATAACAATGTACTACTGCTCTAGGCCCCCGTGGTGGTCTTGGTTGGGCCCTGATGGTCGTGCCCTGTTTCGCGGACAATCTCTTTGTACATGTCCAAGTTAGTTGCAGGTATGGCATCGGATGTGTGCTCGGTTATTGTATCGGGGTTGGTACGGATTGTATGCTCCCCCTGATCGTGGGGGGTCCACCGCGGCAGGCCGGTAGGTGCTTGCCTGGGGAAATACTTTAGGTGGGGGTCGCTGTTCTCGCCTAGTATCCTGGTGCTCGTCCGCGAGTTCAGCGGCATCTTGTAAGGCACAGGGTTTACGGTCCCTTACCCAGTTCTGCATCTCGGTGGATAATCTCCGGTAGAATTGTTCCAGTAGCAGTAGCTGCATGATATCCTGCTTAGTGGTTGCTTGCGCTGCCTCAATCCACCCGGTGGCTGCTCTTTGTAGGCGATGCGCAAATTCAGCGTGAGAGTCCTTCTCCTGTTTTCTCAGGTCCCAGAATTGGAGTCGGTACGCCTCTGGAGTGATGGCATACCGAGCTAGGATGGCTTGCTTTACTTTATGGTAGTCTCTGCTGTCCTCATCTGGCACGGCTCTGTAAGCTTCTGCTGCACGGCCAGATAATTTACCAGCCAGCAGAGGTACTTGATCATGTTGCCTGATCTCAAGCAGCTGACACAGTCTTTCGAAGTCCTGCAGATATCCATCAATATCACCCTCTGTGTCCGTGAAGTTTTTAAAAGCCTGGTAGGGAATTTTTGGTTCTCCCTGTATGCTAGGTGGAGCCGGTGACCCCTCTCTGGGTGGCTGGTTTGCTTGACCCTGTTTGGCCATGATGTATTCCTGTACATCTGCCATGATCCTGTCAAAAGTCTCCTGTGGTGGGGTGGTTGGGTACAGAGCTATCCTGCTCTTGAATTCTATTTCAAATTCTGTTTGCTCTTTCCTCATTGGAGATGCTGCAGCAGCTGCGGCTCTGTCCCCTTCCATCAGCTCCTCAATTAGAACAGCCTTTGCCTTGTTGC